CATGGACATCACTGTGTCTGTGTGTACAGTATTAACATGGTTTACTTGGCCGTGTTTACTTTCAGTTTTCAGTTTTCCTTTGCGTTCTGAATCAATGCTTTTGATGCGTTCAGGAGCAAATCCTCAGAGAGAGTTATGATCAGATAACGTGTTCATCCTGACTAAAGTGTAGTGGGTTTTTTTTTAGTTAACCCGTTTAATCCCCAATTTTCCCAGACATGAAAATATCCAAATGATGTGTCATTACTAGTAACCCTTTGACATAATAAAAGTTTTTTTTTTTTGTTGAAAAGTGTGTAAAATAATGTACTGAATGAACATTTCTGCAGTCATCAAAATTGTTATATATCTTAGCCCAGCTGTTTTAAACAGTTTCTAGGGTTCCTGTTATGCATTAAAACCATGAACATATTTCAAAATTGTTACGTTTTTGTAACATATATATCATCACATTTTTATATTAGTGCTACCAGTATTATAACATCAATATTGTAACTTATTTGTAACATTTGAACTTTTTATTTAGTGCAATAGGCCTATTTTGTCATTGTAACATTTCAGTGCAATTTTCACTAACAACTGCAATTGGATTTATATTGTTTACCTAAATTATCCCAGCGGTCACTATTGTGACTCATACTCATTCTATGACCACACTCAACAAAACTGAATATATGTGAATTCATATATTAATACTAGACACCTTAAAGAGAATGTGTACCAAAAATCTTTTTGCCAGCCTTTAGTTTTGGAGCTTTGATGCAGCATCATCTTCTTAAACAGGAAACAGGAAGTAAACTGCTTTGATCATGTGACAGTTTGCACTAATCATGTGACACTGCACATATTTCACTGAGACCCTTTATTTGTTCCGTATTTGTAGAAAATGCACTAAAACATCAGTCAGCAACATTTTAGGAGACTTATGTTTTAGACGCCATATCGGCTGTTTTTGCTCTATTTCGACAACAAAAATAACTCCAAACACAACCACAGCGCTGTTTTGCCGTCTCTGAGCAACACGACGGTGTTTCGTTCCTGAATGAATCAACCGTTTAAATGATTCGGTTCAGTCGCAATGACTCGCTTATTAACAGTGACTTGCTGCCACCTGCTGGTGGTTTTCATTTCACATTTACAGTATCTTTTCATTTTTTAAATAATTTCAAATATCAGTATTCAACGTTTTATGTTTAAAATATCAAAACATTATTTATGCGTTTGTAACTGCAGGTTAAATGCATTCTTGTCCCTCTGAGCTGTATTAAAGGGGTCATATGATTCGATTTCAAGCTTTCCTTTCTCTCTGGAGTGTTACAAGCTGTTCGTGCATCGATAAGATCCGTAAAATCGCAAAGGCTTAGATGCTTGATATAAAATAAATGGTGCTTTAAAAAGTCCTTGTTTTTCCTTGAATCTGGTGTTCATGAAAGAGTGGGAACCCTGTTAATACATCAAAACATTATTTATGCGTTTGTAACTGCAGGTTAAATGCATTCTTGTCCCTCTGAGCTGTATTAAAGGGGTCATATGATTCGATTTCAAGCTTTCCTTTCTCTCTGGAGTGTTACAAGCTGTTCGTGCATCGATAAGATCCGTAAAATCGCAAAGGCTTGAGTCTCAAACCCAAAGAGATATTCTTTATAAAAGTTAAAACTCGTCCACGCCCTCCTAAAACGCCTCGTTTAAACACGCTAGGCTTGCCGCGAACGATTTGGCACCGACCCCCACCGTCGTTTTGATTTTTTATAGTAATAAAAATCATTTAGTTCAGTAAAAGAACAGACACTACAATGAGATGCAAAAGTGCCTGTTTGGCAATATTTTGGATTTTGAAAAGCCTGTTGACTTTTGCCGTTTATCTAAGGTGATTTTGAAAGTTTTTTTAAACATTCGTTTCTTATTTAATTGGTTTCACATTGTTAGCTGATTTTTACTTTATTTAAACTTTGTGTCATTTATTTATTTTATTTGGCATCAAGGTGTATGCCGTGCCTCCAAGCTTTCTTACTCGTTTTGCTAATAAACGTTAATTCTTATTTATTTGGTTATATATTATACATAGCCTATTTCCAGTTTTGTATACCTATTTAAACTTAAGTTATTTGTTCATTTATATTAGGCATAGCCTGCCCTATAGCATGGTGTATTTGTTTTGTTAATAAAGTTCTATGTTTTAAATATACGCTAAAGAGAGTTTGACATTGTATTTTGTTGTTGCATTCAAGCAATTGACGCAGAACTGCCGCTAATTCGAAAGTGAAAGTAAAATGCGCACGGCGCTTTTAAGCTATTTAAAAGCGAAGGAAAGCGAGGAAAAGAGGGAA